TCCCTTAACGAACGTGCGATTCGCTCAACTAATGTGCCATTCACGGAACAAACGTGTCATTCCTTAACGAACTTGAGATTCGCTTAACGAACGTGCGATTCACTTAACAAACGTGCCATTCGCTTAACGAAGGTGTCATTCGCTTAAACAACGTGCCATTCGCTTTACGAACGTGCCATTCGCTTAACGAATGTGCGATTTGCTTAACGAACAGTGCCATTCGCTTCACAAACGTGTCATTCCCTTAACAAACGGCCGCGATTCACTGAAGAACCATGGGGAGAAAAGTCACAAAACAGGACAAAGCTCCTCGTTTTGCTTGGCCAACCGGGGGGCGGGGGGAGGAGGGAACGGGATTCCCTTTCGGTCGTCCATCACGGACCGCCTGCCCTAGCTCACCTCAGTGATCTCCACATTGGCCGGATCGCCCAGGACGGCCCCGTCCGGCTGCTTGTACCCGGCGTAGCGGATGAGCTGCGGGTTCCAGATCCGGAAGTCCCCTCGCCCAGCCGCCCGCGGGGGGAAGATGGTGATGGCCGACCTGGCAGGAAGGAAGCGAATGGTGGGGCGGGGGCGGGGGGGAAGAGCCTCAGGGTTTTGCCCTCCCGCCAAGACCGACCGACCGACCGTCGGCCTTCGCCCGCCGGGCTCACCGGAGGTTCCCGCGGTTGGTGGCGTAGTTGATGTGGGTACAGAGGGAGGTGAACATTTCCTGGGTGCTGGTGATGTCTCGGGCATCGAAGACCTGGTGGGAATGAGCGTCAAAAGCAGGGGGTGGGGGAGTAGGGGATGCCCGACTTTGGCCCGCTCTGTGACGGGCATCCCCGAGTTGCCCGTCAGAGGGAGGGGGGGCATGGATCCGGGCGGGGAAAGGGAAGGGAATCGACTCCGAAAGAGGACAAGAGGACCAAAGCCAGCTGGAATCGGCGGGGAGGGAGGGGGAGTTTTATCCCGGATATCGATAATCCCGAACGATTTCTGCACCACCAACCCGGATGCACCTGCAGCTTGTTCCACTGGATGCGACCCAGGCAACGGGCGGCGTTGCGCCAGGCGTGCTTGGCCCCGAAGACCAGCTCGGCCTCCAGAAGGCGGTACGTGCCGGTGTCGAGGATCTGGTTGTTCACCTCCTGGAGCCGCTGGTGGTGAGCCTGGGACTCGGCCCTGGGGAGGAAAGAGAGAGGAGGCTCTCTCGACTCTTACAGCCACCTCCAAAATCGAGGTCACTAAGTGAGACTATCCCTAGGGTTAGGGTTAGAGATTCCCCCCCCCCTTTCTTCACCCCCCCCCCACCCCTCTAGGGTGGTTCTGGTCTCGTTTGGGGAGTCTCCGGCAAGTTAGCTCCGAGCCAAAGCGCGGACGATCGCGGATTTTGCTCCAACGACGAGCCATCTCGTCGTTAAGCAAGTCTGGATGATTCTCCCCCTCCCCCCCAAAAAAGGGAGGGAATCCGGGAAATGCTTTGGCCGTCCAAAAACCGGAAGCTATTGATCCTGGAAACGCCGAGCGGCGTTAAGTGCGGCACACGATCGGCGGAACGTACGCCGAGGATGGCTCCTCCCACGTCAAGATTTTGGGTCCGATCGTGACGGAGGGGGGTGGGGGAAAGGCAAGGTGGAAGGGTACGTTCCCCCCCTGTGTTTCCCCTCCTCCCCCCCCCCCCCCCCGGAAAAATAGGGGCGAGGCCTGTCCTGGAGGGACGGGCTTATCGTCGGGAAAACCGCCAATCGGCCCGTGGGTCGTAAGTTCGCCCCCTCAGAAGCGTCCAGGAGCTTCGTCGCTTGGAGAGTTTCCAAGATTGGGCGGTCGTTTGGTCAGCAATGGCGTGGGGGGGGGGAGGTTCTCCCGTTTGGGGTTGGACTAGATGACCTCCCGGGTCCCTTCCTGCTCTTGAGGTGATCGGTTATCGGTTTCAAAGCCCTGCTCCATCTTTGGGGCGGAGTCCGAAAGGGAGATTTGGCCCGGAGAGTTTTGGACTCCCCTGCCCCTCCCTCCGCCCTGGCTGGGGGACGATGGGCCTCCTCGGGGTCCGTTCCTTCAGCCCGATTTTCCCTGTAGGCGGCAGCCTTGGACAAGAGGGAGGGAAGGCAAGGGTGCCAGGCTGTTGGGAGAGAAGATGGGGTGCCCCCTGGGAAAGTGGGGTGCCAGGATGAGGGATGCCAGCCTGTATGGAAAGAGGATGGGTGCCCATTTCCAAGGGGGGTGTGTGTGTGTGTGTGTGTTTGTGTGTGTGTGTTACCGCTTCATGGAGCTGTAGTAGAGGGTAATGAAGTCCCGTGCCAGGCTGAGCAGCTGATCCTCAGAGCGATCGCCCTCCGGGCCGCAGAGCATCTGTTTCGGAACCATGGCGGAGCCCAGGCAGCGCCGGGCACTGCATGGCACCTCCTGGCAAAAGAGGCCAAAGGTGGCAGGCCCATTTGCCCTCCCCCCCACACACACTCCCTGCTGCCAAGGGGGCCAGCCCTTCCCTCACCCGCCCCCGACACACACACACACCCCGTCACGGGCGCCCTCACCTGCCTGGCCTGGGCACTGAGCGTGTCGTAGAGAATGGCGCCCGTCTGCCAGTTCTTGAGGCGGGAGTAGCGGGGCAGCTCGGCCGGGCGCTCGGCTGGCAAGCTGTGGGGAGGGAGGGAGGAAGAGAGAGAGAGAGAGAGAGAGAGACAGAGGGGGGAGGGTTGGGCTGGATGACCTCTGAGGTCCCTTCCAACGCCGTCCCTAGAGGGGAAGCAGGGGGTTGGGCTGGATGACCTCTGAGGTCCCTTCCCTCACTCTATGAGGATATCTCTTGCCTAGGCAGAGGGTGCAGCTGGATGACCTCTGAGATCCCTTCCAACTCCGTCCCTAGAGGAAAAGCAGGGGGTTGGGCTGGGGGACCTCTGAGGTCCCTTCCGTCATTATAGGAGGATATCTCCTGCCTGATCAGGGGGTTGGGCTGGATGACCTCAAAAGGACCCTTCTGTCATTCTATGGGGATGTCTCCAGCAGGGGGTTGGGCTGGATGATCTCTGAAGTCCCTTCCGTCATTCTATGATGATTTCTAGCCCCATCTTTTCCCTCTCCATGGATTCAAATCCCCCCTTTTTTCCTCCTCATGGATTAAAATCCCCCTCTTTTCCTCCTCATGGATTAAAATCCCCCTTTTT